AGTAAATGACGTAATGTAACTTACAGTAAGGTAAAGCAAATGATGTAGCGTAACTTATAGTAAGGTAAAGTAAAGTACGTTTTCACTTGTTGCAGTGCAAACACAAGCATAAGCGCGAGCACAAGAAAAAGGAAAAATTTTGATCCTTGTGCTTGTGCTTATGTCTTCGTCAAGGACGTTTTCACGGTAAAATAAGAATTATTGTGTTTGCGCTTGTGCTCGCGTTTGTACTTACGTCGCTAGTGAAAACCACGCTTAACTAATTCTTCGGTCAAAATGACTGGACTGGCTGAAATTTCTTTGCGTTAATAAAGGCTTCGACTTCGTCTCGGTCGACAAACACGCAAAAAAGGGTTTGGGCAATATTTATATCCTGACCTCACGCTAGTGAGGTCAACAACCCACATTTATTAAAGACTTGTGTTGGAATCAATTTCAACTTATGTTTATGTGATTTTCGTCATGGCCTCTAGGCTACCAGTGGACAGAAATTACCTCTGGGATATCTTCTCTAAGTAGGTGCTTTTAAATAGAATCTGTAGTAGGGTTGTTGTATTGAGCTTCGGAGCATTACTTAAAGCTGTTCAGCTTCCAAATCGCGAACCATATCATTGTCTCCGTTGCAAGCATTGCGTCGCCAGGGTGTTTACTTCGTAGTTTCTCAGTTCGCGCGAACAAACCAAGTTTTGCGGACATTGCTCGATTTCTGTTTTAGAAATAGAACTTATTTTAATCAGTACAGCGTGATGATGACAGCCTAGAAGTCGAGCAACTTTCCTCTAGATGTCTTAATTACTTCTCAACATGCTTAATTACTTAAGCAACGCTGAACAGATTTGAATGGAAGAGTATGCTTCACTGTGCAAAAAGGCGCACGTCAGCGTGTACGGAAGTATTTAATTTTGAGGCATTCAAAATAAAAACGCTGACTCGAAATACACAAGGAATATCTCACTGTTAGAATCCGGCCTGTTTTTCCGATTTCGACTTGTACTTCAGGTTTCCATCACGCATGGCTTCCGCCTTGAATACTTAAGCATTCTCTTGGATCACGACAGGATATTCGAGGCTAGAAGACCCTAGAATAGGGTACTCTATTTGCTTTGGCCCTGTGTTTGCAGTTAAAAACCACACAGTTGAGGGTATCCTCCAATCCACGACTTGATATGTAGTTAGTATAGGTCATTGCATGAATGCGAATGTAATTAAGGATTTACACTACGAGTGATATTTGAAAATTCACTCAAAATTACACGAGCCTTTAAGGTCCGGTAATACGGGCAACATTTTTCTTCAACTTGTCTCGCAACATTGTTGCATTGCAAGTTGAAACACATTGTTGTGCGTATTACCACGTTTGTGACCAACTTGTCTCGCAGCAAAATACCGTGTTGCAAGTCTACAGAATTATACAGGTATAATTGCTTAATCGTGTGTAAGGCAAGTGCAATCTGAAAGAATTACTGTTCGGGAATATCTCCCGGCGCTGGTTCACAATCAAAGGACTGTATCTTTTGATAGATGCGTTTATTTCTCTTCCAATCTCTTGTACAATGTTACACTCTCAATGTCTATTCCGTTCTGGCTTAAAGCTCTTACATCAGTGGCTTATACACTCCATGGAATTTAATTACAACAATACTGCGCTTATATTCTTGAATTGAGTCGCTAAACTCTATTGTATTTCATAGCCCTAAAATAGAATTAGCTTATAATTATCCTCTGTTACCCTTAAATCAGTACAGTGTTACAGTAAAAATCCACTTGTAAGAACCTAATGGTTTAATAACCTGCTGGCAGAAATGTGCAATCAGTTTTAAAAGCCAAAAATATAAGAATCATTTTAGCCAAGCAAGATCAAGCAGGTTCTTATATGTGGGTTACAGTTAAATTATGAAGTCTTGTTATAGGGACACTACATAACAAATGGCATCCTGTAATCAGTTGTGTTAGACTTATCATAATACAATTGTGAATAAACACTGTATAGTTAACAACCAAAGCTAAGTTTATTTATTTCTCTGGTAATCAACAACTATATCTAATTCGTGGAAATTAAAAACCTAGTGAGAACCTGCTTAGCCTAAATTGCCAATATCTACTCCAAAATACAAGAACCTATTTTGCTAGACTTGGTAATATAGATTAAGTATAGTTTTAGAACGCCCGAAGTTGTTCTGAAAGTATTTTAGTTAATTTATTGGAATTTTGTTAGGTTCATTTAAGATTATTGTTTTGCAGAATTGATAAAGATGGGAATGGATCCATATCAGCGGATGAACTTCAACAAGCATTGTCAAATGGTGAGATACTGATTTTGCAGATTTTATAGTAGCCATACTAAGTACGCCTGTCACTCTCTCCTCCACAGGACCTCCTCAGACCATCCACAGGGGTTCGAAACATTCGTTATAGAAAGTTGCTGTGCGAGGTGAATGCAGACGCAAAGTTGAATGGATCGGTCGGGCGCTGCCTTTCCTTCCGTCGTTGCCCGTCATGTAATTCTGCGCCTGCACTCATGTCGCTCAGTGGATTCTCTCCATCCGAAAAACCTCTTTGAGTCTCTGGGTAGGAGAGAGCGCCTCCCAATTCTCAGTTGCAATCATTTTTGTCCGGTGAGATTCTGGCGTCATATGGTAAAACAAACAAAAGCTAACAAGACTCTACCACAGCCTTTTCCGAACAGGAATTTTCTAGCTTGGCAATTAAATCTACAATGGAAAATGGAAAACAACTTGACTGTGGTTACTTTCTTTTTCAGGAGCCTGGACCCCGTTCAATCCTGAGACAGTACGACTCATGATTGGTAGATATAATTATTTCAGTAATTTTCCACTTTAGCTAGTAATTAAGTTTCCTCAAAGAAAGGGAATTTGAATGTTTTCTTGGTTATTATTATTTTTTTTCTTTAGGTATGTTTGATCAGGATAATTCAGGCGCAATCGAGTTCAATGAGTTCTTTGCCTTGTGGCAGTATGTCACTGACTGGCAAAGAACATTTAGAAGCTATGATCAGGACAACTCTGGAACCATTGATAGACAAGAATTAAAAACAGGTAATGCAAAATTTGTCCTCGCACAGTATTCCTCACCTAAACTGTTGCGTTGAAATCAAATTGAGTAAATTGTTACGGTAATTAAATTGATTTTCCCTAACCAATTAAGCTTGTTAATTAATTGTTTCTCAGTGTCATTGTTTCATTAACCTTTCTTATCTCTTTCTGTTCACAGCCCTTACAAACTTTGGTAAGTAATCGGTTTCAAATGCAAGATTTTCGACCAACTTGGGCTTCTAAAGCTTTATTTTTATGACTAGCAATTTTTGTCATGATGTAATTCTTCCTGACAGGTTACAGGTTGTCGGAGAGAATGTACACCATTCTCATCACAAAATTTGATCGCAGTGGCCAGGGCTCCATCAACTTTGATGACTTTATCCAGTGTTGCATCATACTACAGGTAAGGGACACAACTTTCATGAATCATTTGCCTTATCTACAGGTGGTAAAATAACAACTACTAAATGCCAAATAAACTGTTTGCAGCCTGTTTGTCTCTCTAAAATCAGGAAATGAGACGGGGCGAGAGTTTTTAAGTCGAGAAGACTCAGTTGGGACGAGAAAAGGGTGTGGCACGTACGTGAATGTCTCGTCCCGACCCCTTCTCCTCCGCACCGATATTTTTTGCGTCCTCTTTCGCGCCGCGAGGATGAACAATCGTCGGACTCGACCTAAGAGGAATTAAAGTACCGGCTTCATGTAATCTAAGTTCCAAAAGAATGTTCAAAACGGCTTTAAATAACTTACACATGTCCAAAGCAAATTACGGACCAACTCGAAATCGCTTCCAAGATCGATTTCATTCATAAGTCGTATCAATCTTATGAAAACGAAATGTTTTACAAGTTCTATTGCTTTGAAAAGTATGCGTTAAATTAAAGACATCTTGGCGACAAAAACAGCTTCAGATTCTACCAGGCCATATGGTGGAGTACAGCCCGCTAAATTGACCAGTCACATCGAGGGCAAGAATGGAGATAAAGTCATTTGCTCTGTGAGAACAGGAAGGTGAGCGTTTTAAGCGAGAAGGAAGTACGACTTAGCACCGCACCCTCCTGCAATATGTCTGCAAACAAAATATTTAAGGTGGCTCCCTAAAGTCTTACGATTGCACGCGCGCATAAGTGTACATACTAGTTTGATATTTTTGTAGTATTAAATTTTTCAAATAATTTCTTCTCAGATTCTGACGAATTCCTTCAGATTCCGTGATTACACCAAGAGTGGTTGGATAACAATAGGATATGAAGATTTTCTTTCTATGGTGTTTAGCTTAAACATGTCGAAATAGTGATTTTTGTCCCTCGCTTGAAACATTTCAAACAACGTTGCGTGGGAACCTTACTTCTGTCTTGAGACAAAAGTGTTACAAAAAATAAGAGACTGTAGAAAGTTACTCCGTTGTTCAAGAATCTTCATTGGCTTCCGGTAGAACAAAGAATCATCTTCAAAATTGCACTCATCACCTTCAAGGCTCTTCGTGGTGACGGTCCCCAGTATATCGTAGATATTCTCAATCCCTACAACCCAGCTAGAACACTTAGATCGTCCACTCAGAATCTCCTTTACAAGCCTAGTTTCATTTCAAAAGGCTACGGTGACCGTTCATTTACGGTGTCGGCTCCAACAGTGTGAAACGTACTTCCAAACGATATCAGACTCTTCTTGCACGAACATTTTTAAAAGTAAACTGAAAACGTGGCTTTTTAAACAAGCATTTTTAAGTTGAAGTTTTTAATTATATATCTTTTTAAATGTTTATATGTTTTTGACATTTTCTTAATTTTTTATAACAGGTAATTTGTTTTTATATATTTAATTTCTTTTGAAGCGCCATTGAACCATTGGGAAATGGCGCTCTGTACATTTTAATATTATTATCATTATTCTCGGCCATTATCATTACGCTATGCTTTCTGCTGTGCTATTTATAGCTCACCAGGAAGGCGACTTTAAAAGAGTATAAAACGAGAATGTCCCAAAATGTTAGACCCCACGTTCTTCAGGTGCACGTTATTGTAAAAATAGCATTTAGAAACTTGTAAAGCAGTATCTTGTTTCATGTGGTCAGGGGCACCCAACGACCGTTTTCTCTCGAATACTTTTAAAAGCTGTTTTAGGCTATGTGGAGTACTTTTAAAGCTC